AACTGACAGATAAATGATAGGCCTAAGGTTCAAGGGTGGGTATTTTGGATGAGATTGGTTACGTTGACATATATCCAGAACTTGGACCAAAGCTTTTTGGTGGAATTTCTTGTCATGCATGTCAGTCCGCATGATCTCAGGATGTGAGATTTTCAGTTTCAAATTGTAAGTAAGCTCACTCATTCTTCTCCGTTGCACACAGATGCCTCTAACACTCAGCTCATACAGATAAAAAGGTACCTGAAGAAGCACTGGTGAATCCATGATTGGAACTTTGCACAATACGATTAACAAAAAACCTAAAAAGTGGACCTTTAGAGCCCCCTAGCCCTTTTAGCTCCACCCCCACCGGTCAGTACTTTTAGTATATTGTTTAAGGACCCTTCCCCTACAACTGTGACAAATTTGGCTTATACATGATTTTTCCCCATATTTGTTTTTTTTTTTTTTTCTTCATTGCTTGGACTACAAGGGCAGTATGATCGTTTTGCAGACCAGACTTTGCAGGCTTTTTTATTTTTCACGGGTAAGAAAGTCTAAAATTGATTCTTAGAGTAAAACCCCAGTTATTATGATCAAAATGTGTTGGTTCACAAACATAAGCAAGTTTATCTTGGTTGATGTTGCTCCCTTATAATTGTATCCTAAAAGATTTTCACCCAGATGCAGTGTGCTTGGTGGGATGTACAATAGAGATTTTGACAACAGTGTTTTTAGCTTCTTGGGGCTCGAAACAAAAAGTCAAGTTACTTAGAAATTATATATTAAAACACATGCTCTTGATACTTATTTGCCTTGTAGTAAATTATATTTTCAACACTACGTTAATATTGACGATCTGTGTTTTATCTGACAGGAGATAGAGATCAAGCAGTGTGGAGGGTGCAACCGATTGGTTGGACTACTGACTCTCATAGTCACATCTGGACTGTTGCTACTACACACATCATGATCTTCACATCATCTCTAAACCTGCAATTCCTGTTACCAGAAACAAACTCATGTTATTTAGGTTTTTGAAACCTGACTTTGACTCTGTGATTCTTTTGGTGTAAAAGAATCTTGTAGCTAAAACTAGAGACTTGGTCCAGATGATGGCAAATGCAGTCAAAGGAAAAATGTAGGTTAAGTATTTTATCATGGACTCTAAGTGAGAGGGAAGATAGGTGGTTTAAGTGACGGAGGGCCTGGAGATTATTGTGAGCTTAATTACCGATAGTGGAAAATTACACAAATAGAGGGTACGACCCGTGTAAAACCTTGAAAAATAAAAATATGAAACAGAAATCAAAATTTTAAATTTTAGTACAATATCAGGCTTGCATGCTATCAAACTATTATCACCCAAGAAAACCCAAATTGTAAGTGTGATAATTCCCGTTGTAAAAACTTTTGATGTTATTATCATGTAAAAACACTAAGATTCACCTATTTTTGCATTACTGTCCTAATGTAAGTCACTTGTGAACTGTGTATGTCTTTGAATGAACAAGTTCGACACATTTTTGTAACGATTTCGATGTTTTGTACAGTAACTAAACTGAAACGCAACAAACTTTGTCACATTTCGTGGTTATTTGGACAAAATTCATTGATTACGCATTTGGTTTGTCTTACATAAGATCGAGTCGTGTGTATTTTAAGATACATTTATAAAAATTAAAAATCTACTGTATGTGTATACCGGTTGATGAAATTGTACTTAACTCTTAGCTTTTTACATTGACTACAAGTTTGTTTGTAAGGTAGGTTAATGTACAATTACAATTTATTGTGTAATTAGTAGGTTAAATTGAAATTAAATAATTACAACAGAGCTAAAATATTTTTTAACTAATGAAATTTATAAAATGTAGGTTAGGTTTAGTAAATCAGTGCACTGTTAATTGTTGTTTAATTATTTTTGTTGTATATTTAAATAAAATAGTAATACAAATTACTGATTTGTTTTAGAAGCTTCTGAGTAAATACACGATTTGAATTGTATATTTCTCATTTTAGGCATGGTTGAAGCAGATTTACCTAATGATAGACTACCAGCCTGTTCTTAAACTTTAATCTACTTTTTATTATGTCAAGATTACTAAAAAAGGGCCATGGTTTTATTTTATTACTTTTCAAATTAGCATGATTACTGACAAACTTTATTGTTTATTCTCGCTTCACAGGATATTTTGTTTCAACAAAAACTATACCATTAGTATCTTCATCTTTTGATTCATAATTTGTCTATGAGCTATGGATGTTTGTCATATTTTATTTTAGTAGTTACTTTGATATCAATACTCTCCAAAATGTGAACAAACATTGTTCCATCATTTACACTTTACATTCAAAGAACAAAAACATACTAAAGAACAGCTAAAGTGATGTTGGTTTTACTTTTATTTGCTAGTACAATTCAATTTAGTTATCTAACTAATTAGAAATACCTTTTGGTAAAACCACTTTATAACATTTTTTTAAATTGAGAATCTATAAAGTATAACCTTTTTTATGTCTACGAGCAGTTTGAGATCTTGTGATACATTTGTGTTTGAATGCAAAGCAATAATATAAATTAAGTAAGCGATATCGATATGAGGCGAGTTGGAGCAAGATAATTTTATTTACGGGCCTTCCTAACTTACTGGCCACTTCACACTGAAACTGACAAATAATCCCCAACTACTAGTCTTACTGTGACAATAATTTTATAAGGTTTTATTATAATTCACTGAGATTCTATTAGGCAATGTTTACGATTAAGCATCGTTAAGGAAAGTTGTTAAGAATGCGATTCCGCTTGACGTTTTAACATTCTCTTCAAAATCTAAATCAAATTTGGTAATCGAACGCAGCAAATAGTATATAGCTGTCTACAAATATTTATTACCGATGATTGTTAAAATAATATAATGGAGTATATATTTATAATTTCTACGTAGAGAATCTATACAGTTGTTGTAGAATGTAGTGTTTTGTTGTGTAGTATTTATTGATGTTCTGTTAAGAATTTGTCTGTTTAGAATTATCAGTCGTGAATAGCCAGAGCAAGATGCCTAAAATTCTGTTTGATAGTCATATCATTTAGACACATATCTTGTGTGAAAAATATAATATTTTTAAAAAATCATTTTTTTTACAGGTAACTTAATGTTATTCAAATTGGTACAGTTAAAAATTATATCACTATCATTAATTATATCATATTATAAGAAATAAAGATAAAGAAGTAAATTATTCTTGAAACTTTGCGTTTACAAACATATCAATTACAAACATAGTTGTATAATAGTGAAATAGGTATATATTACAATTATTAAGCTTGCAAATAAATGGTCAACAATCGAGAAAATTATACAAAATTATAGTCTATTTCAATGGCATTTGATTTCTCATACAACAGACTTTTTTTACAAGTCAAAATTCAGACCGACTATTCAAACAGTTTGATATTTTTAGAATAAAAAAAACAGCTACCTACTGCAAGAAAATTGAATGTACATAACTAGAGAATTAGAACACTACCCAAGTCAGTTATAGGCTATGCTTTGGCAGTTCAAGTTTTGGAGATAATTCTGCCCTATCTGTTTTGTGGCACAATGTCATGGCTGGTTCGGAGAAAGTTGCGTTTATTTCAACAATTTTTCATTGCGTTCTCATTTGAGGGACATACGCAAAAGCGAAGTTCAATAACTGTGAAGATAAACTGTTTGTACATAAATAATATTTATCGTACTTATTGTCATTAATATATTTATTGATATAATGCGTGTTTGCACTACTAGCAAACATAATTAAGTCTTCCATTTTTAACTCGATAAAATGTGGTGCATCGATGCCTAGCCTACCTCCCCCCCTCTAGAATGTTTTAGGCACAGAGGTTATTTTCAATATTTGTGTAAGTGCTTACGTTTAGTGTACCGCTCTTACGTTGGATGTTTGAATGTGGGTGTGAGGAGTTTTCTATCGAGAGCTTTTCCATGTTTCTTTAAAGGTTGATTTAAGGAACACATGTAAAATGTTTTGTTATCTATTCAGAAATGTTTAGTGTGGTCAGTTTTTTTTTACGTGTGTTGTAAAAAAGGAACACTATCTTGTAGTCATTTATAGTGTATCTTTCCAGATTATCTCAAACAGACCAGTGATAGATAACATCTCTGTCAACCTACTCTCATGTAGAACCAACATTGTACACTAATAAAAGCTTTCAGAAATCTTTTTAGTTTGAGTCCAGTCTTTTGCAATTCCAACACAGAGAATCCACCTTTTGAAATAGTTTTGAAATATAACTGACTTTGAACACTGTAGTATGTTTTAACAGTAGGCTTAGGCTAGCTTAGCTGTAAACAATTTTTACTCAAGAAAAATAAATTGTGTTAAATCAATAAGCCTCTGAAAGAGTTTGTCACTATAGGTTTATTATTTCTTTTGAATTACTGTGGTACAATTTGATGGGGACATAAAAGTTGCCATCATTTTTAGTTTCCCTTTCAATTCAGCATTAAATGTTAAATGTGTAAGAAAGAAAAAAATATTTACACTTTACTGTAGCTCAATTTAACCAAGTTATTTTCACAATATTATAAAATTGCCAACAATGCCAACATGGAATGTGATGTCTCACTTCATTGGTAGTGAATATTTAGTAAAACAGTTTGCAAGTAGATTTCACAACACTTTGGAATATTTTGTTTAAAAAATTATTGAATGCGAAGAAAACTTTAACAGTTTTACATCAGTAAAATACATCAGTTGCCTTCCATGTATACTAGAATTTAAATACCATCGAGACAAACTAAATTTAAAGATACCACAATACTTCTCAATAAAACCACAATAATGCTGTAATAAAATTAGCAACTCAGGCCTATACTAGGAAAAAAAATTAAAAGATTGGCTAAAACGTATTTATTACAAAAACCACTAGGTACTCATCATTATTAACAAAAATAAAACAGAAAAAAAAACGAAATATAAACATAGATGGTATATTACTCATTACAAAAACTTATACAATACATACAAGACCAACTATACTGATCATTAAGAATATTTTACATTGGAATAAAAATATTAAATTAATAATTTACAATAATTATTCTTATATACAGACATCCTTTTGGTGAGGTATAACGGTTTTGTTTGCAAAAATTACAAAACTTAAATACTTAAGAGTAAAAGTGACTATTTATTTTCCACCATCTTGATGGGGATACCTCTGGCTACTAAAGCCGCAGCGTTACTGTAAGCTTGAGATGTCTCCCTCGCAAAGCGCATCAAACGCAATAGTTCTGGCTCCTAAAAATAAATTCAGATCAGTATACACCTTAACCATCCACTAATACATACATATAGTTAAGTCTTGAGCTGAGGAAGAGACGAGGCTGTTCGCAAGTGGAGACATTACCGGGGTAAATGCTTCAACCTAATGGACCAAAAGATGTTTAATCCTCGCACTTTTGGAAAAGTAAAAAATGAAAAGATACATTCACATTTGCTAGAGGCTTGAGCTACAAAATTTAAAGGGACACATAAGGTAGTATTGACAGCTTTAGAAAAATATTGTAATGGTTTGGACAAGGCAAGACACATGGAAATTAGATGGAAATCTGAAGATAGCAGATGACACAAGAAATGGAACATGTTTGGAGAGGTAAAAAAAATCACTTATACCCAAATCACAAAACGTTGGGTATTAGTTTTTTTACAACCATAATGGGAAATGTCAACAATAACCTCCTAAATAACAGAAGTAAGTAAGTTTAAGTAGGAAAACACAAAACTAAACCTAGGAATAAATAATCTCAGAAGAGCTACATTTACACTGTTTTCATGCAAAACTATACAACTGCAGTAACAATGTCATTTTTGTCCCCATCCACTCTATGAGCTATGCAAGTATACCTTGTTTGGCGCGAGCATGTCCCCTGTTGTGCGGAAGGGCTTGAGATCTATCGGTTCACCAGGTAGCCAGCTGTTGAGTATCATGACGGTCATACAATCTGTGTCATCACTGGTGACAGTCCACAGCATGCCTATTACACAGGCGCTGCCAACACAACAAATATTTACAGTCTGATCATTGTATTATATATTGATATAATATGTTTATTTTAAACTAGTGATTTTTCTATAAACAAATTTATCAATTCTCGATGCTGATGCCTGAAAAATCTATTCTAGTTACCAATACCGTTTCTTATAGTTTTACAAAATTTATTTTTCTGAATGGATTGGTTAAACTAGACCAACTCCTTTATGTCTATCCATAAAGTAGTTTTAAGGTAATGAAGTGTTTTTCAAGTAAAGAATAAATTAATGTAGCGATGGAAAATTCTAACTGCTCAATTTAAGTTTACATTAAACCATTCTAAACACTTAAATAACTACCTTATCAAAGGTAGGCACAAATGAAGATCTAAAAAAAATTTACAATAAAATTGTATTACAACTAGAGGTGTGCTAGCCTGATATTTTCGGTCAAGCCAGACTTGAGGTAGGCTAATATCATTTACTTCTCCCATGGTTGTGGTCCGATATAATTGTGATCTTCTGGAAACTGCGATCAATGCAAAATCCTGAATATCCGTTAGTCTGACAAGTACATTGTACTCTTTCCTTTTATACATCTCAATTGCTAAATCAATGATTAATTATCAATCATTGAGATAGGGACGTCACTTAGGTGTGCATTTTAACCCAAATATGAGTGAAGGATGAGTGTAGAATGGTGTGAGATGATCTGTGTAGCTTTGTTACTGACTAAGATCAGCTGTTTCATTAGCCAGGATACTTTATTTAAAGCCCAATGATCAGGAACAGCTGGGTCCAGTTTCGAACCATCAAAAAGCTACTGACTTTTCTCAGGATCGAACCGGCGACCTTTTGAGTAGTAGGCGAGCACTATAACCACTCAGCTACCCAGCCAGCCAAATGCTAATGCATACTACTGTTTTTGTGTTCTTCGACGTTGTCCATAGAAATGTAATGTTGACGAATGGAAATTACAAAAAAAATATTCTGATCATTGACAAAAAATTTTCTTCTAAAAAACATCTTTTGGTGCATAGGTTTCTACAGTAGTTCAACATTTTTTTAATAAAGTAGGCCTACATGCTGAAACTTTGGATTTTGTGATACAAAAACTGTACACCAAATTACCTGCCGGCCATAATGTATTTGTCTGAGACGCCAGTAGGTTCCGCTCTACCACCGAGATCCTGCAGGGCGACACTACTGCAGCCAAACAGTAGTGGCAAGGCGACCACTCGCAACTGGGAAATGTCTTCTGGGCGGAGGTAGTGTGAGCCGTTAAAGTGACCACAATATCTGTGAGAATCTCAAATATTAATGTAAATTTTGACAATGTAGTAAGCTGCTTTTAAGCAACATTAACGCAGTCGAGTCACAGTCGTTGCCCGAAGACCACGATTCTAAAATAAGGGACTGTGAAAGCATATTCATGAAGAATATGAACATAATAAATTGCTTTCTTACATATCAAAAAATAATGATATACTAAACCATTCTTCTCACCAGTATGTCACATGTGAGAACTTTAGTTCATTTGTTGAATCAATTAATTTTCAGAAAGCTTCTTACATTTGCTTTGTAATTAATTAAAGAATATACCATACAATTTCATAAATTAAATTTGAATCAAAACAATCCGAGACCTGGAAAAGCCCGACTAAAATAAAGCTAACTGTGGATTTCTTGTTTTCAATTTATTAGTGAGTATCCACTTTGCAAGTGCACTACTGACATAGTCAATTTTTTAAACTAAATAAAGTTAGCTAGATTCCTGAAATTTAATTATATTACTAACAAATAAATATAGAACTATAAAATATTTAAATAAACTCACCCTAAATTCTGAAATGAATTGGTTGGTGGTGACCAAAACGATTGCATGTAACAATTAATAAACAAATGAATTACACACTCCTTATCTACAAGAAACACTTCAAAAAATGCTTAATAACAGAATTGGTAAACACACAACAGTGGGATCTAGGGGGGCAAAGGGGAAATCGCCCCCTTCCGCCCCCCCCCCCCCCCCCCGAGACTTTGGTAAATAAATCTAGTTAAAATAATATAGTTTTAAATTGTAAAAAATGATCATGTTTTTGTCTCTAGATTCTCTACAAACATGAGTTTTCAGTTCAAATTTTCCAAAAATTTTCAGGGGTGGCCCCCCTTGACCAGCTCCATTTCCTCAGGACCCCCCCTCCACTGAAAGTCTACCCTTACAATCCAACTCCCCCCCCCCTCCGAAAATCATACCCTGGGTCCGCCACTGACACACAGCCATACAACTGATTACTTACAGGAAAACATTATGATCAACCAGAGCAGAGCAGAACTCATTCTCAGACGGACTCTGGCCCGATACGCCTTTCCACTGTGGCACACGCTTCTGCAGAAAACCCATCAGTCGAGACTCCATCTCCTTCAAATCTTGCCCAGGATTTACCACATAGAAGCCCAAGTCGAGATTTGAAACTAATCTGGAAAAAAAATCAACTATTGTCACATAAACTGTTCAATAATGTAAAAACAAAGCTGCAAAGTGCAAATACCCCCGGTGCAACAAACCTGCAGACTAACCGAATTACCACCTGGCTCGATTTCTAATAAAATATTCGCATCAAATTGTTGGATCAATTTCCTATTTAAATACCATCTATATATTAATACAAGCTATTTTCCTGTAGGTGTGCAAAATCTCTTTATGAATTAAAATAGGCTCAAAGATAAGTACAAAAAATGAATTTGAAATTAACAAAAAATTAACATGGGCTTTATGGGTAAGAAATTCCAATTACATGTTTTATTTACAGTGTGAGGTGAAAAATAGAGAAGTCTGTGTATGGTCGAGTTTTCGACCACTGGACGACCTCTAGTCAAGTTTAATGCATAGCCTACTTAGTGATTGAAAATGTCTACAATATTTTTGAGTACATTAACATTACCCTACCACAATTTATGCAATCCAAAAGAAATATCAACAGTTTGCAAAAAATATTTACCTGCAGCCATCCACAATTTGATTCTTATGCTCGTGGTACAAAGCATGCAGAAAGTGTATTGAAGGCACTCTTGACACTGGGTGCTTTTTGAACATTGGCAACATCTCCCAAGGTAACCCATCCAGTGCCTGGACATGAAAAAATTATTTGTTACTGCACTATCAATTCTATGTCATAAACGTGATATTTGGTGGCATAACTATAATAGAACATTGTTAGAATTGTGACAAGTATTTAACTATTAACTATTTTCAGCTCAAATTATCTTTCATTTTTTGATTTTTTACAACAATTTTGACAGAACAATTTTCAAATTAAATTGGAATTTGTGTGTGTCTCTAAAGGGGAAATAAGTGTTAAATTATGTAGCTAAACCAAACCAAACAAGTGTAATGTGACAATGTTTTGGACTGAACACTCCTTCTCATTTCGACACCTAACCAAACTCTTGTCCCAACTAAAAATAGGTTTTTCACATTTAACTGACAAAGTGGGCTTCCTTGCACTAACTTATTATAGTACAGAAAGTAGCTAATTGATGCATTTACTTACTTTTGAAACACTCATTTTTCCCTGCACTTAAGTAGCCTATTCCAACCAAATAAGACAAAACAATGTGCTTTTAGTAGGCACATAATATGTGTAGTGTAGGCCTACCCTTGAAAATAAATTGGCTTTAAGATACCACGACTACGATCAGCTGGTGCAGGGTTTCCCATTTTGTTCAACGATTGGATTTGACCTAACCTAAAACGTGTTGTTTAGTGTTTGAAAGACTAGATTTTTTTAAGAGGTTGGCGGCCTCTTTTAACCTTGCATTTGCCTGTCCACATGGATTAACTGCCCATGCGTGGAACGAGATCCAGCAAAGCAAGGGGTGAGCCAGTGCAGTACGAAGGTGAACTGTACTGATAAAATGTTTGCGGCAACCAGGATCTGAACTCTCAACATCACTGCCCAAAATCCGTGACGCTACCAAATGAGCCATCGACTCTCCTACAAATATTTATTTGTATTTTCTTTAGTACCCGTAGGAAAAACTGCGAGCACAATGTCCCACTTTGTACACTAGTTACACAAATAACTATTTTCTACGGGCAAATTGGCTAAAAGTCTAAACCAGCAGATACTAATACTAATTAATGCGTACTTACATCATCCACAATAAGTATAACAGGATATCTACGGGCGGCCAGCAGCATGGCCATATCCTCCTTGAAGGCGTTTATTGCTTTGATAAGGTCAATACCTAACTCCTTGGAATCAACGAGACAGCAAACAGCCGAATGGATCTCGGCTTTGTTCAGATAAACACAGCCGTCCACCACTTGGTACAGCAGTTGGCGATCTTTGCCGTCCATCCTGGTAACAAATTGGTGCACTGTAGAGGTTGTGTTTTGTTTACAAATTGTTTCTTATTATTTCAGTCATTTTCATTTATAACCTCGTTTAACCAAATATTAATAACTAATTATAAACAAAACTCGTCCCCTAGTTATATAACCAAACAGTAAAGCTCAAATCATGAAATTAACCTTAAAATAATAGAATCAAACTTTTGTCGACACTAGCGATCAGTGTCACTGTACATGAACTAGACTCGAAAAAGAGCTTCAAAATTTACAATGGGATGAAAAGTCTACTTGTGTTGGTTAGTCTATGCTATCGCGGTCAGGTTGATCAAGTAACAACGAAGGACACGCACTACGCAGAGCCATGTTGACGGGAGGTGCATCAAAACAAATACACAGTGGTTCAAAATGCACAAAATGTTGTACAAAAATATATCCTGCTGAACTAGTAAAAATCGTCAAATTTAATTTAAATTTTGGTTTTTAGAGTGAAGAGTTTGATCTCTCGATATCCTTCAAAATTTTGCGGTTAGGATCGCTATTCGCTTTCTCTTAAAAGATCACATTTAAAATGCCACTAGCCACACCAAAAACAAAAACTATATTTTTATCATTACTGCTGCCTTAAAGCAAAACTCGAGTTTTAAATTCTTCACCTTACTTGTATGTTTGGAATTTGTCACTATTGACCACTTTGTCTATACAAGCACGAATCTTCTGGTTGTAAGTATTGCAGCAAAGCCTGCCTGTGAATAGACATTTCCATTCTTTCAGCATTTTGCTCGACATTGCTTCGGCCACATCCTGAAAGAATAATAATTCCAAATAACAATAAGGAAATGAAAATATTATCGCTGGATTAGTTCTGTAGTGACATGCAATAATGTATAGGTTAACAGCAATACCATTACCAATTAGTGTAGTAGTGTAGTGTAGTAGTGAGTCGGTGGCTCAGTCGGTACCGTTGCGGACTTCGGGCCCAAGGCAGCGATGTCGTGGGTTCGGATCCTGGTCACTGCCGATAACATTTTATCAGTACAGTTCACCTTTGTACTGTACCGGCTCACTCCTTGCTATGCTGTAAACGATCCACGCACGGGCGCTTAGTCTATGTGGACGTGCAAATGCAAGGTTAAAAGAGGCCGCCAACCTCTTTTATTAAAAAAAAAAAAAAAAAAAAAAATTGATATGGGGACGCCAGCTTTATTTTACACCTGTATTTGTGTGTATTTTAACCCAAATATGAGTGAAGGGTGAGTGTAGAATGAAGCGAGATGCTACAAGCTTTGTTACTGACTATGATCAGCTGTTATTTGCCAGGATCATTTGTTTAAAGCCCTATGATCAGGAAAGTTTAGAATCATCAAAAAGCTACTGACTTTTCTCAGTAGCAATCCCTTTTGCCTTTTGATTGTCAGGCGAGCAGTTTTAAATTAGAGGAGAATTTTGATAGAATCTATGTAATAACATCCTGTCTGAATGAATGAATACAGTTAATCATGAGTTGAGGATCCCAATTGGAAAGTGGGTTCAGTATTAGCCCGGTTCAAAAGGCAAGAAATACACAGTGAACCTATCCCTTACTGTGCTGCACTTCTAAAATTTCTGGACAACCTACTGTAAATATAGAAACATATTACACCTACTCTATCGAATTTGTTACCAACACAGAATACCTTTGTGAATGTAGCCAGTAGTTCTTGTACGTAAGATGTTTGGTCACCCTATGCATTCCGCCAGACACAAACGGGATCACTAGATATAAAAAAAATGTAAATATTTTTGTAATTAAGTCTTAGTTACAAGAAAATAACTTAAGAAGAAGAACCCTTAAGAAGCTACACAAGCTGGTGAAATGCATAGGGTCTCAATAACTACAGGCTACAACAACAAAGGTAATCTAATATAATTCAAGATCTTGAAAATGGGATTGAAAATATAATATAAGTTACAACATAGAAAAACACATTAAACAACTACCTTGATATATTGTGATCCTTTCTCCCTTTCTTTTCTTATCTCTTGTGGTCTTGTTTTCTTAGTTCGTAGACATTCTATTGCCTGTTTCATCAATTCATATACAGTTGGCATTCCTGGTGGTTTCTCCGGCTTTTCTACTAGAACTGTTATCGGGTTGTTCTCCCTGAAAAAGTTGCAATTTTCACAATATAATGAAATTAGTCTATATTCTTTTATTGATGTACTAAAGCAACGTTTAGCATAGGTACTTTTCCATAATTTTTTTCTATTTAACGAATTAGTAAAATATATAAGAATAGTTCTATTATTCTATTATTATAGTTTTGGCAAAGCAGGTTCAAAGATCAAATAAAACAACACAATATTTTTTTTTCTTTATTTGGTATTAATTTCTTCTAGGTTTATTAAGTATTTACATCTTTGAAAATATTCCTTATTACCAAACCAGGAGTAGATACTAAAATATTTGCAGTGTTGGGAAGTAGCGCGCTACAAGTAGCGACGCTACAGTAGCGCGCTACTTTTTTTGTAGCGTTAGCTGTAGCTACGCTACTTTTAAGATTTTGTAGCTTTAGCTGTAGCTAGCTACATTTTTAAAGTAGTTGTAGCGGAATTTTAGCTACTTTTCTCGCTACATTAACATTGTTTGAGATAGTGATTTTTATCATAACCTCAACCTTACGTGAAACAACCTCTTTCAAACTGAGATTTTCAAAAAAATTAGGCCTTACTTTCTTGGCTTCATGCAGCTGGTTGCAGCCGTTTCATTCCCTATTACAACGTTGTGTGGACATGGAGGCCATTAAATGAGTGTTATCCACATTTTTTGGCTCTCATTTCCTTAATTTACTACTCTATGATTACTGTCAGATAAAATGAAATCGCTAGATGGCTAGATGCAGACGACGTTTAAACGTTACCGGTGACAAGAGAAGCTATTGAATGCTTGCAAGTGATTGACAGGGAAATTAGTAATCAATTTAGTTTAATTTTTATACCGATAGTGTTTAAACTTGGATTTTAATGGAAACCAACACTAAACCTTAAAATAATGAGAAAGCTGGTCTATCAACCTTTGCTTCAGCTGTTGATTGTGGTTCATCATCACAAGCCCTTCCTTGGTTAGTTTACGAAGTTTTTCAAAGGTTTACTAAATTAACAAAGAGGAAATTACCTGATGTGATTTTAGATATGCCTAGACTACATGATAATTGTAACGAAAAAATCTCCATATAACATGAAACTTACATTGAAAAAATAGCATAGTTTGCTCCTGCTAACAGCTCTTGTATAGGACTATTAATTCCTAGGCTATGCTATGGTTTAAGACGAATACCAAGTTCCAAGTTCAATTATTAGGAATATATATGTTTAGTCCTTGCAAGAACAAGCCTACTATAGCCAACTTGTTACATAGCCAAGTAGGCCTACATGTTATTTTTACTTTACAAATTTCAACATGTTTAAATTAAAAGCCGATTTCAGGATAAGTTACTGGATACTGTTTTCTGTACCAACTAGGTTGAAGCACAATTTGCCCTATGCATAATGACAATAAAGGACGATTTCTTGACATTGAAAAGTGTTATTCATAGAACAAGTAACTTATCACTTAAAAGTTTATAGCAATGTCGTTTTTAACATTAAAAGAAAGGCAATAAACTCCAATTTCAGTAGGCTAGGCTCTGTAAAAAAAATATTTTTAAATAATCGTTTTATAGTTTTATTGGTCTTAATTGTTGATATAAGACATCTATAAATGAATCTATATTAAAGAAATAAAATGAGCTTTTAAAATATAGTTTGGTTGTATGTCCTTTGAACTTAATGAAATTTACATTTAAGATGCTTAAAAATAATGCAATATTTAAAAATAAGTACTAAATATGATGGGACACCGAACTATTTGGTTCTGTTGTTGTAATGTTAGGTTTATAATGCCAAAAAATTAAATACAATCTAGGAATAATTTGTTTTCCAATTAATGTTAGATACAATACTGACATTTTTTTAAATGTTTGTTCAGTAAAAATGTAGTTGCAATTAATTTTACATTTACCTAATGTGTGTGGAATAAAAAGTAACGTCTTTGGAAAAGTAGCTAAAATTGTAGCTGTAGCTACATTTCATTGTAGCTGTAGTTGTAGCTAGCTACTTTTTCGGAACTGTAGCTGTAGCTGTAGCTAAGCTACTTTTTTTGAAATGTAGCAGTAGTTGTAGCTAGCTACATTTTAAAAGTAGCTTCCCCAACACTGAATATTTGTTCAACCATTCCAGCTTTAGAGAATTGCTTGTGATCACGTTGAAGACTTGTAACGTCGCGGAACCAAGAAAATCTGGCCAAACTGCAGAAGTTTTTAACCGTGATCGACGCTTGAGCACTACACTCATAACGTATTGAATGAGTTTGAACTAAGGGTAGCCTACAGTGTTTCAAATGGTTCCATAAGATTTATGATGTGGAAGGTCGCTGTGCTATACTTGTACCGAAAATGCACAAGGATTATCAGAAGCACCGGCGTGTGGCAAAATTGCAGTCTACCCAATTTTGGGCAGTCCCCCAGATTTTGGCCCGAAACAACGTGGCAACGCTCCCGCAGCGACTTCTTTTTGTTCTTCGGAAATAAGAAGGAGTTAAAAGGGAAGTGGTTCGGCACTGCCACAGCAGTTCAAACAGCTTCGACGAAGATTCTGAACATAATTACGCCAGCTGACTTTCAGGAAGCCTTCCGATAGTGAAAAACTTGCTGACAGCGGTGTGTCAACTCGGAAGGAAACTATTTTGAAGATTTTCAGTTCACTATACATAAATTTGCAATGCAATTCTTTTCCTAAGATCCATTAACACACTCTGTTATTAGGTTAGGCTATAGTTTTTTAGTTTTTTTCAAAGAAGGTATAAGCTTCAATGAAAAACCTTACTTGAGAGTTTCGCCGCAATGTAGCCGAGTAATGTAGATGTTCGCTGGCTCTGAAGGAGTGTCTTTGGGTCTGACTTTCAACTGTTCCGAAGGTGTTAGCTCTCTTGTGATCTGCACCACTGTCCATTCTGTAAGGAATAAATTATAAATGTGTATTAGAAGTTGCCAGAAAATTGTTTCACTTATTAGCTTAAGTGCCTATCTTTATTTAAAAAAATTAATTTATACACACAGTCACTATCTAAGCTACCGTAATTTAAAATAGAACTGAAATGTTAACTATGATAGTGTAAGTAAAGTTTGTACAAATCAACCTTGAAAAAAGCATGTTCACAACTAAATTAAAACAGCGACAATGTTGTATATCTATTACTTATTTAATACGCAAGCATGTTTTTTGTGACAATTACTCCTCCGAAACTACTGAACCGATTTACATGTTTTTGGTGTCATTGGAAAGAGCGTAACATGAAGTTGTGCAGGAAACTTTCTTTTTAGGGAAATAATCAGAGAGTGAGGCCCTAGGACCCTTTAAAGTTTCGTATTCCTCCATAAGATTAACATGGGAAACAAAAATTATTATGCAACTCCAGCTGTTGTCAGAAATTAAAAGTGAGAAGAAGAACATATGTTAATTGTAAACAGTCAATAAGTTTGCTACAAACATTGACTTGGTTGAAATGAAAAATTTACTATTTGAATTCGGGTTGGCGTAAATATTACAATGGAAAAAAGCGAGAGAGCCTGGATAAATTTATATATTCTGTTATGTACATCTGGAATATTTCCATAATCTTTGGGTCGAATCTTTTAAAGTTATCAGAAATTATGAACGTTATTCCTTTTAAAATAACACCTCTAATACTTAGAAATTGCTCGAATTCGAGCAACAGGGACACTAGTTTAACTTAATGCAGAATTTCTGGATTTAGATGTCTTGTGTGGCAAAAATACAGCAGAAAACGTACCTTTAGGCATTTCTTGCAGACGAGCCAACAATCCATTTTCTTCATCCTTCGCTAGATCACTTTGGAAATCAACATATTTTTTCTGTATTCCTTGTTCAACTGGGATTTTTGAACTTGTGGTTCTGTTACTTTTGATCCTAGAGACAGCAAAATAAGTGAGTTAGGTACAAGTTCTAGACCAGGAATATCACATTATAAATTATTTAAAAATGTAATTTCTGTACACCCCACACCCACAACCCCAGTAGTTCACTAAATTTAAATATCTTCTTGAGAAGGAGTGTATATTAGATCTTTAATCCTAAGAGAGTTTTGTAATACCAAAGGCATACATTGAAATGTCTCATCGATTTTTTCCCTTGCAACTGGTTGGCGTAGCCAAAAATCTACTTAGATTTGAGCGACCAAATGAGTCAGTGATTTAATGAGCCCACATTAAAAACACTGTTTACAAACAATGAACGAGTTGACTTAGGATTTGTCATTAGTTGATTTATTCTGGTTAAAAGAGTGACTTGACTCATCAAAGCTAAAGGCCTGTTTTGCCAAAAGCGGCTGATGCGTCTATCGCTCAGCGATGATCGCTGCCCACTGCTTTGCATTGTTTCAGGTAAGTCTATGTTGCCAAGTGTTTATCGCTACAGGTGCCAGTGTCTGTAACTGAATCGCTAGCATCTATCAAGAACCACTGCTCTTGTAGTAGAAGGAGACACAGTCACTAGCGATATTAGAAGAAGAAACATAAGTTCTACTGTTGGTTCTTAATTTTTTTTTAATTGTGTTTTTTACCCAGTTTGTAAGTTTAAAGACATGTCACAATCAAAGTGGGGATTTAATAGCAAAGAAGATAATGAAATGATTAGGCCTAAAGCCATTTCAGCACACCCGGCTTTCCTAGAATGGAGGGGATTTTCTATTATTAATTTATATAATATCCCTCTTCAGGACTATTTAAAACATAAAAATTTACTTCTTCCCTGGGTTCGCACAATAGTTCTAAAAGCACTTCATCATCCCATTCCTCGGTTAACAAATAATTCACCAGGCCTATTTGCTTTTTACAGCTCATTTTTCAAAACAGTACTCCTTTCGCCAACAAAGAAAACCACTCACTGATCAAATAATCACAAGGAACAGATACTTTGGCAAAATAGCCCGGAGCGATGGACGCTGAGCGATTATCACTCTAGCGATCATCGCTGTGTCAGATGCACCAGCAGCTTCTGGCAAAACAGGCCTTAAGCCTGTAAAACCCATGTCTACAACACTGAGGTTGAAATTAGGCCTACCCTAAAACTTACAAGTCTTGTTTATAGTCGTATCTGATTACTGTCTGTTGCCGTAAAGTAGCTGCATGCGCCTCGGTAAGGTGGTAGATTCCTTTAAGTTCTTGTTTGTTTGCTAAATACACATCGGCTATGTGCTTATGAATGTCTGAAAACGTCAACATAACACTTTGAACAAAGTAAAACAGTTTTTTAAGATGTGGATATACATGGCATATAAAACATGGAACACTGCAAAACTAGGAATTAACTGTTCAACAAGTTTGGCTAGTAACAATTGCTAAATTGATTAGATGGCAATTAAAAATGACCCAGGAATTTTGGCCTAAAAGGTTTAAATTAAAACAACATTTTAAAGCATCAGATAATCTACATTATTCCAACTAAAAGAGAATACCTGTATTTCAAAATGAAACAAAACCAAAAACTTGTGTTGTGTTTTAAGTCAATAGGGATATTTTAAAAGTTATATTTAACATTGTGCTATTCTGAAGATCATGCAGGTTGAAAATATTAGGTTGGTTTTATGAAAACAAATATTAATAATTATTAAAAACAAAAACTATGGGAGTGGTAATAGACTCAGACAGTGGGTACAATCTGCTATGTTGATACTGCACACTCTCGTTATGATTCAAGGACTCATTACTGCCATTGAATTATTAACACGTTCGCTGCGGCCCACAAAAAGGCGGGCATAGCCCCAGTGCAGCGCAGCTTCGAGCAGATCCGTTTCGCTTTCAAATATTTTAGTCTGACGAATAGCCAATGTTGTGCGGTGATGTTCTGCGTTGTGACTAGAATCGACGTAGTTTGCTGAAACATCCACAAATAGCAGCACTGTCTGGAACCAGCCAGTCCCATTGTATTGCCAAAAGAGAGAGAAAAAACGGGACAAGTTGATTTCATCTTGATTCTTGATTCTTGATTCTTGATTCAAAGCATAGGTACAAGAAGGGGTTTTTACGGGAATTTTCACTACCAGCCTACACCACAATAACTTAAAGCACTCATTCCTAGCCGGACATAAAAATACCCGTTCTTCCTGGTGTGCTGCTGCTCAGAAATTGAATGGAATGTAGGCAATGCCGGCACTCAACGGTGAGCGTTTAGCATGGCAGAAAGGAACTGGAGCACTCAACGGTGAGTGGCCCGCAGCGAACGTGTTAAGTTAGGTTGCACAGTTGTTGTAAGCCTATTTAGGTATGATAAAATGATAATCACCTAAACAGTGTAAGTTACAATTTACTGCCATTAAATACAAATGAAAGGTTAAGTTATTATTAGAAGTTGCATACAGTGTATAAAAGACAACTTACCCTGATAATAAGGTCCAACAACTAATGTAGGATTTAGAAGAAAATCTTTTTTCAAATTTTCAAGTTCAGAAAAAGAATTATCTTCTGCCATTATAACCTGAAACAAAATTCTGTGTTGATTCGTTGAATGCAAAACGAGTTCATCTTTAAGCTTTGAGTTTGAAACTAGATTTAAAAATGCAAACTTATAACCTCGCAGTATTTTCTTACAGGTGAACACGTAAAAGTAGGCCTAAGTTTGCTGTAGAAATCCTAGTTAGAAAAACCTAAAAGTTACAGCCTTTAAAAAAGATTCTACAGTAAGTTAATTTATTACCGGTAGCATATATCGTCACTGCCAACAATTTTTGGTAAGAGGTGAATAAAAGGGTAGACTTCCGTATCTGTTGGCACAAACAACCGAATGAATATATCCAATGAAACAATCAAATAATCAATATTTTCATTCGGTTGTTTGTGCCAACAGATACGGAAGTCTACCCGAATAAAGTTTCACCGATTACAAATTTAAAATGTCATGTTTTACCATAGATTAAACATATAAGGGAGTATGTTTAATTTATGGTTTTACTTTCAATTCTTTTCGTGCGGAATCTGAAAATGCAATCAGTTTTTTTAAGGATAGGGTCCTAAGTAGGCTATATGGTACAAAAACATCATAAAGATTAAGTTAAGCATTGATGGTTTATTATGAGGTTCAGATGATGGTTTGTGCGAGTCCAAGTTCTAGTGGCACCTAACATTTGAAGGGAAGGTATTTGGGGAGCAAATAGCTGTTTAAATCCAGGTATTTTTTTGAATTAGGTATTATTTCCTGTGTTCAACCGGCTAACTTTTTCCAATAGGTACCGGTACTGTAGTGCAAAAACAGTCCATGAAGGTAACATGAAACTCAGTTTATTATTTATTCCTCAACTCTAACATACCTTTCTAATGTAGGTAACCTAACGTCAAATCACATAGCCTAATAATATAACCACGAATTAGCATAGATACAGATCTACCTTCTTCACATGCCCAAATGGTAATTAATTAGTATAGGTGCCTCCAATTAATAAGAACTGATTAACTTAGTCCCTGTAATGATCAACCATCACTAACCAACCATCCGTTGCATTTCTAGATGACTTTTACGTTTGTCTTCGCATTCTAAGCCTAACTTAAACGTCTTAGCATTTATTGGTTCAAGTTAGCCTAGTGGAACTTTTACTTGTCACTATCTCTCGGTCTCTCATAAAGCTACTCCTAACACCTCATACTCGTCCAAACCTAAGCTGTCAATGGTTGTTTTGCAGACATTTTATGTAGTTTAACTTTGGTATTAATGTAATTAAATGTTTTACTAAATTATAATAATCTCACTCTTGTTCAAATTATATATAATAATAGATCAAACATACTCAATCTTACATAAAATGTATCATAATAGGCATAGGCCTAGACTAATATTTAGGCCTATTCATGTTTGTCATTAGGCTAGATTTGTCTTAACAAATATAGGTATTTATTGCAATCAATCTTGAATGATTACTTACTTATTCATAAAAAATAGGGAATAAAGTAAAGTAAGTGTGCATTAGTCAATGGGGCTATGTACCTGTTTTAAAATACTCTAAAGCTTTGCCAATGTATAAACAAGAGCATTCATAGACCTTGTCTGTCGAACCCGAACTGGCTTTAAACTTGAACAAACCACAAAATAAATAATATTACAGAAAAATTAGATGAAACATTTAAGTCCATACACGCAACAGACACTTAAGATGTATCCTTAAACTGAAACAAAACAGGAGACATAAACAAAACAAAACTAAAAGCAGTTAGTTTTTGGAAGGGAAGAGCAGACAACATTTTTAAAATTGAAATTGAAGTTGAAGGTTGGCTTGGTTGAAAAAAAAACAGAATAATAAACTACTATAATTGACAGACATTTGGAAGAACGGACCGCCTAAATAATTTAGCCATAGAGTACGGCAAAAACTCGTATTCAACCACATTCAACACAATCAAGAATGTATATTCCAGAACTTGGATGTCACAAATTTTACGGAAAGTAAATAAAAGAAACGTCTTGTAACTCTTAAAACATATACCTACGCTTATACTGTTACTCACAAGACGGTAAATATACAAAAAAGATGGTAAGTGGTGATCGATTTCGATTGGACACTCCAATCATCATCAGACCCAATAGGCGAATGACCTAATAAATTTTAGACATAAAATACATAGTAAGATCATGTAGATATTGTTTTAGTTTTTTATTAAATAGTTTTGAATGATTTATTTATTTTAGTTTTTGAGATAAGAGATTGAAAAGCTGTATATCCATGAAGTGTTAGTTTTACAAGGGTAATATTACAATGGTATTATTGGTATTAATAACTTGGTTTTTTTACCCTAAGCTTTTTTTGTTTGACGTTTTGCGCAGACTTAAGCGTATATTTTGTGGCAATCTTGTCTTAAGCTGTTGAGTTTTGTTTAAATAAACGAGCTGTTGGCCCATCATATACGCAAGGGAATCGAGTATAGTCAATTAAAACTAGCTGAGTATAATTCAGAACAGCTAGTTAACAGACTTGAAGGCAAATTTTGGCAATTTTAATAGAAAAAAACATCTCAATCAAATGTCACGTGGCCCCTATTCCTTCCATCGGATTATAGACTTGATATAAGCATTTGAAATCAGATAATTTTACAATAAAACAGCTAATTGTGCCGATTTGGAAAGCCATGAACATTTGATTGGTGGCCGATTCACACACACTGATTTCGAGTACAGTAGCTGCATCCTACATACCCCCTTCCTTGCTTTACTGGGATGATGATGACTCGGACGGTAATGTTGTCCTGTAATCCAGCTTTTAGGAGGAGGTCACAAATTGTGGATATTTATAGACATGAACTGTAGATGCGATACTCCCTGGTGTGGATTAACGTCCGTGCTAGTGAATACTACTACTATCCGCATCAGTACTCCTGATAATTAGACCAATTCGTTAATACCAAGGCAAAAATGTGGTTCGGATTCCACTAAAACCTGTAGGTCCCTTAGTTGCAATTTAGCTGTATTGGCTATTAATTAACAGATGTTTCTAAAGGAATATGTCGGCCTTAGTCACTAACAAGACTACAAGATCGCGCCACTCATCCTAAACTCATATCCTTCACTCATTTGGGTTACGCACATAGTGGTGTCCCCATCTTAAATTAATTGATATAATGGATACTGTATACCTTACCTCCGTGCTGGCCACTTAAGTAATGTGTAAAAGACTTCTCCACACTGTGAGATCTATTAGGTCCTTTCACACGAGGCCACTGGACTGAGGACTCCAGACACCATATACAAACTAGTTGAGGAAATGATTGTTACTTTGCCACGAATTTTGTTCTTATATTTTATTGGCATATTCCTCCTTACTATTAAAAATTGCCAGGTACCTTTCAATCTCGCAAATTAGATCTTCAGTATTATTTTGTGTTCAAATAATAGTATAAAAATATCTCTTCTACTTAGCAAGATTTATTGCTACATCCACCTACATCACGATCGATGTTTTGTGGCCGAACCGGGAGCTGGAGCTGTAGGCAGTTAGTCGGGTTAAAGATGGACGCAAGAGTGTCAATTTTGGAACTCGCGGTCACGTTTTTGCGATATCGATATCGTCGCCTGCCCGTGGGTTGTCAACGGGGTGAAAATATTTTATTTTCAAATTCTGTTATGTAACTATAAGTTAGTAGTATCATATCATGTAGTAATTCCTTCTGAATTAACTCTTTCAAACAATAAACATAAGTATGTTATATCCCCGACTCGGGATTTCTTTTCTTTTATATAATGACCTCTGAGTGCATGGTCTTCGCATCTTCTATTTTATATTCTTCAACACACCTTCAGATCAACATTATACAGAGCGTAGATAGTTCAAGCACATAGTAAATCAGACATTAGTTTGCCATATTGATCTTGCACACCTATGTGTGGGTGTGTCGAAAAATGCGTCTGTGGTACATTTCTGGCCCACCCACACGCGGGTGCCAGACACATTTATACATGCACGCGTCTTTACGGCACCAAGAAAACATAGGGTCACAATTTTCTGATGTGTTTTGCGTAACGTCTCGTACGTCTGGCATAAATCTGACATTTATACGGACATATTTTGGCGAAAATGCAATCAGACAAATAATGGAAATTCGCTTAGTGTGCAGGTTTTCTAAATAAGGGAAAAGTATTGAACTCTTAAAAGCTCTGCTTATAGTGGTCATGTCATAGAACATACTCAATCTATGGTCTTGTGTAGCCTGGTCAAGAAAAATCACGCGTTAAAAAATCTCTTATCTGAGCGCCGAAATTGGACAAGATCAACACTTTCGTCTATTCCGATTATTTTCATTACTATCCTCCAGTTGCAGTAAGAATAAGATTCCTTCGCTTGGTCCCGAGCTCCCTCATACCACGGTGTCTTTGTTTATCTTACAGTGTAGGTACTAAAGTATTTACAAGCATTAAACTACAAGTTAATTCAACTAGTGTTTACAACCAGTAAAGTCTACCAGTTTTCACGGACGCTACTGCCTTATCTATCAGGATGGACTTTAACTCCCTTCTAAATTTTACCCGCATCCTGTTCAGCCTGTAATGGGAAAGGAAGGTTATTGGAGAGTTTCACAGCATTGCAGTGAAAATGCTTCACAAAATAACACAATAGCCTAAAACAATAGTTTAAAAACTGTTTTGTTAAAATAACCATTCTTTTTGAATTGTCCAATTAACTTTCAATTCTGTTGTAAATTTAAAACATGTTATGTGTGATTCATGTTTTTGTTTATGAGAGCTAAGTGAGAAGAAACTGTTTTTATAATTTTATTGTAATTTTCACGAACTGTGCTTCACTCTCTAGAACACATTAGTGAAAAGGGATAAAATGTAGCCGTGGCATTGTGTATACATCTTACGAAGTATATAATCAATGGCAGTGATTCGGAGCACGAAAGGTGGTCGTGTTTCGTCGGGTCTATTGGAAAAAAGAAAAGATAAGGTAAGAAGAAGAAAACGCCCTATTTAGAGGTTAGGGTTACGTTGCGTTGTTGCGTTACTTATTTTGAGAATTTTGTTTACCTCATGTGAAAAAACAAAAAACTTATCCCTAGTCAAGTCTAGCTCATTTAGGCCATGCCATGTGTGTTTGATTGAATTTAATTGAACAATGACTATTGACTACACGACCAGACAATTTTGTGGTTTAGGTAATCTGCACTCTGCAGGCACAATTCAGCTGCGTTGGTAAAATATTAGTTATTTGGCCGTAATATTAATATTAAGTTATATCTCACGTAATCGTTAAGCTAAATACACAAAACATGGCTGATTTTGATGACGAACTTTTTAATGTTTTCGATGAAGAAATTCAGTCTTCTGTCAAGGATGAAACTCTTGACTCTTCTAAGAGCCCTGAACACTACCCTCAAAGGTAAGGCGAACCGAAAATAGAATTTTTTTTAGTCATAAGAGAACGAGAACACACTACTTTAAGCTTTATGAACTTGTCTAGGCCAAAGGTAGAGCTGCTGTTGCATGTAAATGATGTGTGTGGCAGATCAAATTAACCCTACATGGGTATCGCACGTAAATTTGACGTAGGGGTAGGACGAGTAATTTTTAGCGTCCCATCCTGCACCCCCTCAACCGAGGCTACCTACCCTCCTTTCAGCAGTCATTCGCTTAGTGATCGCTGCCTTGGTTGGGTCGTAGTGTGTTTCTTTATGTTCCTTGCTAAGTTAGTCGGTTTCTTGGAACGCATGTCAAACTTACGTGTCAATACCCTTCGTGAATAGTAAAATGGCTGACTCGTGCATAGTAAAATGCCCGGCAGTACTGTTTGGTTGTAATTGCATGCAACAAGTTACCATTTAATGTTTAAACTAAAAGATTGACAAGCATTTTGCCTAGGTCTGACAGGTCTATGTAGCCTAGCTGATTAGTGTAGGTACTACTAATTTACTATTAAAAGACCAAGGATAACTTGGTACTCGCAATTAGTGTATAGTAAGCCTGGTTATTTTATTATTTTGCAGTTCTGGAGCTGACGAATCTTCTGATGCTGGAGTCAAAAGAGAACATTCTGACGACGAATCTACCATTGAATCAAAGAAGAAGAAAGTTGAAACAATCCTTGATGACATCAAGTAAGTGTGTACAAACGTTAAATATTAGCCTAGTTCAAAATTACCTAGTTGCAAGTGTCAAAGTTAACAAGATCGCTAAATGTACAAACCACAATCGATAAAATAACAACCTGTCTGCTTAGTTGCTTTTGGTAGCCTACCTCAAGATCGAAGTGAATTCCCTTATTGTTAATTTAAAATCTGGAATTTACTAAAAATCTGCAACATATGCCTCCATTCAGGATATTAATTTATTGTCGTATTTACTTCCAGACAGTTGAGAATTTTTAGTTCGAACTTGGGTCTGGTCACAAGGCATCTGAAAGAGGAAAAATAGTCAATTGAGCGATGAGACGCTTTTGGATTCAAATGTGAAATTTCTTATTGGCTCTCTGCAGTAAAAAAGTACCGTAATTAGCTTTTAACTAACCTATTCAGTTATCGAGTTTTCTATATTGAACCATTGATGAAACATTTTACTTTTGCAGCATTCAGCAAGTGTCCCATAGGATATCTGTTCACACCGTAGAAACACTGGAAGCCTGTCTACATGAGGTAAACATAATAGTGTAGGCTAATAACATTTGCAACACGAAGCACAACCATTTGTTACATTGCCAGCCATTAATGAAG